AGAGATGTTTCTCGACTTAACACAAGCTTTGTTTTCTTGGTTTTGCGCTTCCTTCAGTCGGTCTGTTTCTGTGAATATATATCATTAATGACTGGAGTATATTTTGTTTCCTGTGTTTGTGCTTCATAATCAGACTAAAGAGATGTTTCCTGATTATGAATCTGCCATAGCTAAACCATCTCCCGTAGCATCCGCAATTTAGCTCTGAGGGCTGCCGATACGCATGACACATGATGAGACTAAAGAGATTAATTTAGGATGAAAATAATAATTGATAAAAAGACCTGGTTGAAGCAGTTTGTGGAATGTAAGTTACTATGAATCAAGTCAGTTAGTCAGATAAACTCTAGTTTATCTTCGTTGAATTTGCTGTCTTTTGTAGTGGCCGGAACTCTTGTGTTAGCCTCTTGTGCCCTCTTCATGCTCTATATCTGGAAACAGTTTGAATAATATTTGATGAAAACAACTTCACCAATGTGTTGCTCAAAGAGGGTCCATGGCTCTATATCTGCATATGGAAAAACACATACGGAGCAAACCAGAGTAGATAGTTTTCTGAATAAGGGATGTATGTGTGTATGTTTCTAACACTTTGTGTTAGGAAAATTAGATGGTTGAATTTAGAGCTGGGCACAAGGCGGGTACTTGCTTATTTAGCAATACTCGATACTTGACTTGCCTTGTATGAGTAATGAAAATTTCGACTTATACTTGACTTGTCAAAAACGAGTAGTTGTTATTGCGAGTACTTACTAAAAAATAAGTTACTTGCAAGTTACTTGTTATATTTTATTACTTGATATTTGTGAGTATTTGTAAATTACGTATAAATATTTATGAGTTAGCTGTGACTAACATAAATGTAATTTTAAATATTTAAAAATTATTTATTGAATAATGCTATACCGAAAAATGAAAATAGAAGTTTATTTTTGTTGTTGTACAAGGAATAATCACGAATATTAAAATAAATAAATATTTGTACGTAATATAAACAGTAAGAATGAAAAAAAATATAAAAGATTTCTAATAGAATATTATTTACTTCACACAATAACGAAAACATATTTTCCAAGTAAGTAAAGAGTAGTATCAAGTCGAGTAGTTAACCTTTTACATACTTGTTACTTAACTTGTACTTGCAAATATCTGAATTCCACTATTTGATACTCAACTTGATGATAGCGAGTACTTAAAAAAAACGAGGCGAATGCGGGGCGAGTAACGAGTTTAAGGCGAATAGCGGGTATTTATGCCCAGTCCTAGTTGAATTAGTTGTAAAAGTACAATGTAAATAGTCACACAATTTTTAAGAACCCCTACTTAAGTACTACCAATAAATCACTAAGATTAAAATTCTCTTAGCAAAACCTCTTAACTTCACTTTAGTATTTAATAAATCACTAAGAACTCTTAAGTGAGTTTCACCAATAAACATGCTCTTAAGTGACTAAAGAGATGTTTCCTGATTATGAATCTGCCATAGCTAAACCATCTCCCGTAGCATCCGCAATTTAGCTCTGAGGGCTGCCGATATGCATGACACATGATGAGACTAAAGAGATTAATTTATGATGAAAAAAATAATGATAAAAGACCTGGTTGAAGCAGTTTGTGGAATGTAAGTTACTATGAATCAAGTCAATGATTCTTGTCATGATTTTACAACATTGAGATATTAGTGGTCCTAATGGAGTAGTCAGATAAACTCTAGTTTATCTTCGTTGAATTTGCTGTCTTTTGTAGTGGCCGGAACTCTTGTGTGAGCCTCTTGTGCCCTCTTCATGCTCTATATCTGGAAACAGTTTGAATAATATTTGATGGAAACAACTTCACCTATGTGTTGCTCAAAGAGGTCCATGGCTCTATATCTGCATATGGGAAAACACATACAGAGCAAACCAGAGTAGATAGTTTTCTGAATAAGGGGATTGTGTTGTTAGGTCGTAAAGCTTGTTCCAGTTTTTGTTTGTTTAGTTGAAGATAAAAAGGTAATGAGCGTTCATCAACTGTTTCTTTTTCAAGTGTATTAGCCATTAGGATTCACAAAGTAAAAAAAAAAATGCTTTTCAATTGCTAACCTCTGTAAAAAAGATTGAGAATGGAGTTTGCAGAGAGGAGAACTATGTACAGTGAGAAATTCAGATGGAAAAGAACTACTTTATTAACAGTTATAATGTCGTAACATAGAGATCTGAGACCTGAGATACATAGTACTAAACAGAGATATTAGACGTTGATTAACAGAAACTACATACTAAACGGTAAAAACAGAAACAACATACAAAACAGGGATACTAAAATTTAATTAACATAATCTTCATAATAAACAGCGAAAATATTTGTTATGAGACATGAGATGCATGCAATTTGATATATAAACTAAACAGGGATACTAAACGTTAATCAACAGAAACTACACTACATACTTATTAGAATCAGATACTAAACTTAATGACCAGAAGCTGCAGTCTAAAGAGAGATCCTAATGGTTAATCAACCTACAGTCTACATACTAATCAGATACTAAACGTTAACAGAAACTACAGTAAAAACAGAGATGCTAAACCTTAATCAACTGAAACTACAGCCTACATGCAAATCAAAAGTGAACGGGAATCTACAGACAGCCTAAACAGAGATACTAAACCTTAATTATCAACAGACACTACAACCTAAACAGAGAAGCTAAACACTAATGAACTGAAACTAAATTGAAGCCAGACGATTTCCTCATGGGCATAGTCTTCAACCTCAAGACTTTGTTAAGAGTTCTCTTAAACTGTGCGGCCTTTGTCGGAAGAAACCTAAACTTCAAAGGCTTCTTCTCAGAAACAAGAAGAGCATCTGTCGTAGGTTTCTTGTTGGAACGTCTTCCTCTGATTCTCAACTTGAATAGCTTCAACAGAAACGAGTTACCTGTCTTCTTGTCCTCTTCTTCAACTTGTGGACGAGGCAAGAAGGGATGAGACAGCAACTCAAAAGCGCTTCCTCTCTCCTCGGTTTCCCTTGAGAAACATGTTTGGATAAAATCCTTTGCTTCAGAAGGTATACTCTCAGGTATCTCAGGAGCTTCACCACTACGAAGACGAGTCGCTAGAAGATCGATATTAACACCTTCCCATGGTATAACTCCCGTGTACATCTCCAGTACCAAACACCCCACCGACCACAAATCTATTCCTTTCTCAGCGAAGCCATCAGAGACAGACTCAGGAGGCATGTAGATTGGAGTCCCGATCCACGGGAACTCAGATTCCCAGAATTTAGGAACCACTCCTACCTCTAACGCGTTACCAAAATCCGATATCTTGATCTCGTATGATGAATCTTGTCTAGAAGAAGGGAAGACAAGTAAGTTGTCTGGTTTGATGTCGCAGTGAACGTAGCCGTGTCCGTGAATAGACACCAAACCTTCAAGAACCATCTTTGTGAAATCTTTAATCAAGGTTTCCGGCAACTTTCTTTCGGCGTATTTGTCCATGAAAGTGCGTAAGCTACCTTCAGAAGCATATTCAAGTTGAAGTTTGTGGAGTTTGTTACCGTGATCGCTAAGACCTTGTTGAAGAGAGTCACCGAAACACGTAACGATCCTGGGACATCCCCTGAGTTCGAGCAGGATCTGTAACTCTGTTTGGAGACTGTCATAGTTTGCGTCGTATGAGTTCTTGACGGCGGAGAGAAACGAAGATCCGTCGTCGGGATTAGTGTAGCGAACTAGGTTAACAAGACCATAAGCGCCTTCTCCAAGAAACTTGACGAATTCTTCCTGCATCTTTTCAATCAGAGTTGATTTTTCTAGGGTTTCCAAGAAGATGAATCGCTCAGAAGAGAAAACTGTAAAAGCTTTTCGAGGGTTTCTAAATTGAATCGCAATGGAGAAAAACGTACAAGAGAATCGTGGAAAAGAGCAAAAGTGGAGCGTGGGAGAAGAGATGTGAGCGAGTCTTTTATAGATTTAGGGTTTCGAAAGAGATTAATCGCTCTGAAGAGAAAGTTGCAAAAGCTTTTCCTAGGGTTTCGAAACTCGTTGGAAGAGAGCAAAAGTGAAGCGAGGAAGAGGAGGTATGAGAGTGTTTTATAGGTTGCGGCTCAGTTAAGTCGGTGACAAATAATTTCCTTTTCTGAGATATTAAAAAAAATGAAATTCGCAACGCCGAGACAAAATATGGGAAAAAAAAATGTTGCTTTTTTTCTTTTATTTTGGCCATTTAAGAGGGGGCTTATTTGTGTATTAACCAAAACAAATTAGGTAAATAACAAGAATCTATACTATTATCTATACTATTATATAAGAAGTAAATTTCCTTAGTTGTCATAGTCTCCTTGATTTTAGGTAAATTTGTTTATTTACCTTATTTAAATAATTTCATATACAATTTATTATTTAAAATAAATCTATACTATTATATAAGAAATAAATTTGCTTAGTTGTCATAGTCTCCTTGATTTTAGGTAAATTTGTTTATTTACCTTATTTAAATAATTTCATATACAATTTATTATTTAAAATAAATCTATACTATTATATAAGAAGTAAATTTGCTTAGTTTTCATAGTCTCCTTGATTTTAGGTAAATTTGTTTATTTACCTTATTTAAATAATTTCATATACAATTTATTATTTTAAATAAATTTATATTAATAAAATTATATTTTCGAAAATATGTTAATTATTTTGTATTAAGTTGTTAGCTTAAAAAAATATATTTTCTATTATAAAATTCAAGTGAACTTACTGATTGATTTGTAACTTCTCCATGATATTTTTAATTTTGCGTATTTGTTATATTTTTAATAATTTTATGAATAATTTATCATATAATAAAACGAATTTCTATTAATAATACTATACTTGTAGAAAACAAGATAATTCTTATGTATTATATTGTTATCTTTAAAATATATATTTTTATTATAGAAATTAAAAATTAAGTTAAATATTAATAGTTAAATATAAAGAAAGCAATGCTGATTTATCAACTTCTCCATGGTTTTAT